CATATATATATATATATATATATATATATATATATATAGAAAATTGTTCTCTCATTTAAAACGATTATAATTAGTTATATATAAAATTGATTTTTTTCCACGGTTGTTTCATGAGAAAAACAAAGCAGAAAAAGAAGAATAAGAAGAAATTATTAAAAAAAATCGAAGCGAGCATCCATTGAGTTTCATACACGGCCAATAAAAACGATCTGTTGTCCAACAACTTTGCTCCCGTACAAAAAAGGCTCTAATTCTGGTTCCCTACATTTTTTTATATTCTTTTTTTCTTTTTTTTTAAATTCCTGTATGTCCTATAATTTAATGCATTCTAAATGATGGTCCATTTCGTTTCACAGCATTCCAACAATTTCAATTATAGTCTCCGAATTTTCAACTATAATATAATCGACACTACGATATTTTTCGTTCGACTCTTGCTAAGGTACAATCGTTCGATCAATATTAAAGGATATGAAATTATTATTTTTTCTTAAATCAATTAAATCGATTTAATTTAGAGAAAATATCCAAACTTCAAGAATAAATTGGAAAATGGTCATTTCATTTATCTATTATTACTATAATGGATTATCAAATATTTAACATTAGATATAATATATATTTAACAATAAATAAGAAAATAATTTTTGATTAACAAGTTAAAATTGATAAAATGCTTTAACAAGAGAATAAAATAGATATATTATCATTTAAAATGTTATTGGTTCCATATTGATCTCGATTGTGCCCTAATCAAGAGCATACACGTATTTGCGTGTATGTGAGTGTAACTTATACATACTTTTTTTTATCGTCATATTAAAAATATACATTAAAATGATACGCACAATTGTGTCGTTAACGTACACCATTTAACAAGTTCCCTACCTTAAGAGGTATCACTACGTATTTTTCATTTTTCACTTGGGTATTTTACAATAAAATAGATCGGTAAGCAAATCGTAATTCTTGTCTTGTTACGAGACCACGAGTACCGGTGGATCAGGTAAAACGATTTCTCAGGCAGTCTAATGTTAGGAATATGTCTAATAATCGATTAGACGATAGATTAGCTACATATATATTATGAAAGAATATTATATGCTTCATAATTTTGTATAAAATCTATATACATTATAATTGAAAATTGATTTTTAGATTTTGTGCACTAAGGGTGAAAAATTGAAAGAATTCGTATTATATATATTTTTATAAGTTTAAAGAAAGTTTATAAGTTGAAAAACCATAAACTTCTTCAATATCTTATATTTTATTTATAATGTCAAAAAATAAAATAAACAAGATCTTTTATTTTATTTTAATCAGGTTAATCAAAATTTTATAAAATCATTTTTTAAAATATAAAAAACTTATTAATTATCTCAAACTTATGATTAATAGTTATATCTTGTGCCAAACTCATTCAGCGAATCTCTATGAGACTTTACATATCATTACTCTTACTAATTATAGATATGAAAAGTTTGTGCAAATTACTTTGTCTTATACAAACAAATGAAGCACATAATAACACTGGGTTTTTGAAATACCGCCGAGAAATGATCGTATAATGTTGAGTAATTGATAATATAATTAAGAAGTAATTATATTATTCAGAGAATTTGAGAGATCCACCTGTGCAATGATTTAAGAACTGAAACCGATTCAATCGTATCGCAGATTATCTTTCAAGGATTTACTTCAGGCATGTACACTTAAGAAAGATATATATATAATATATATCGATATATATAATATCAGTGATATTTTATTATATATATATATATGTATACATATATATGTGTATATATATATATATATAATATCAGTTCAAATACAATAAATTTTGCGTCAATAGGAAAATGTTTAATAACTAGTGGAGACATATATATATACTTTTTTTTTAATACATTAAATTTTACTTTTTTCGTTATGAAAAATAACAATTTCTTTATACTTTTTTTTCTTTGATAAAAAAGTGTGTTGGCTAAGAGATTGCACTTTGTGATCATTTTAAAAATTTGTGATTAATCATTAGTGACTATACATTATATATCTTATGTTTCACACACCGATTGTTCATACAGTCATCAAATATATTTCTAATTGCAACATTAGTAAAGAAACAAATTAATATCGAAGATTCATACGACTCTTCTTTCTTTTCCTTCTTTAACTTACGTATAATATAATCTTCGGTTATAATAGAAGCAAGATTGACTTGCCAAGTTGTTAATTCGTCGACAGAATGTTGTAAAACAAAATCTATAATTTATAACATGGATATTATAATCTTTTTATTCTTCCTATCCATTTTTCTTTTTCATTTTTTGTTGAATATATTTTATTTTATTATTTATTAATCTACTTTTATCGTATATTTCCGTAAGATGCTTTTTTTTTTTTACACATAATTCGCCGACAAATAATCTTTTGCAGACAACATGAACAAGTCAACCTGCAGGAGGGCAACATGTGGTGCCAGGCACTATTTATTTATATATCGTTTGTGTATTCCATTAATCAATAACGTTAATTAATTACAGTAATGTACCAAATACGATTCTTGAGAACAGTTCATATCAGGATATATCCTGAGATTGAGTAAAGCATAGGCTGAGACCATCTTGAAAGCAGTTTTACTTAGGAAGATTTTCTGTACTTTATAATTGCAACCCTATATTGCCTATACAGCTAATCATGGATTTCACTAATGAAGCATTTTATAAGATATATTAATAGATATTCGTTCTCTATATTTCACACTTAATTTAATTGTGATCCATTGTTATAGAAAAATTGTGTGTGCAATAATTATTGTATTTAAATGCTGTTCAAACAAATTTATTAATTCTCATGTATTATTATTTGAACATAAATGCTCGCAGAAGTGCAAGCTCTCGTTGTGTACGATTTAGGCGTTAAGGGTTGCAAAGTATCTTCCTTCTATGTCTTTCTTTTTCTCTTCATATCAAATGTGCAAAATACTTGTGGAAAATGTATATAACATATGTATATATGTATACATATACAAGTTCGTGTGTATATACTTTTCTTTCTTTTCAACATTATATTAGATGCTTATTTCACATACAATATGTATGTATCTTTTCTATCACCTCATAAAGATCAATATATTAATTTCCGAGTATATTTTTTCTACAGAATATCGTATTTATTTTGAGTACAGTAGCCGATTAATCATTCAACATTTTTTTTTTTCTATTAGCGGACATAGACCGTTAATTAGTTCGCTAATGAAAAAAAAGGGAAAAAAACTCCACTATTTAAAAATAAATCAACATTTAACGATTCTTTAAAATAGACGAGTTAATACACATATGAGTGTGAGTATAATACATTTTCTAATAATATATTTGAATGATTTTTTTTTTTATAATTTAAAGAATACAGTTTTTTCAGAGTAAAGGAAAAAGATATTGCAATTAAAAAAAAAAAAAAAGAAAAAGAATTGTAAAATTAAAATTTATATACTAATCGAATATCATTATTCTCTGACTAGGTATTCAATTAAGAGAGAATAATGTTTATTGCTCTCGATATTAATTAAAAACATCAATTAACGGATTATGCCGCAGATTGTACCTATCTACCATTATAACGCACAAAAAACAAGTAACAAAGTACATTTATTTATAAATCTCTAAATTGTGAAATCATTAGACATTCGCAAGCTCTTAGAAATTCGGTTGTCGATGCACTTAACCTCCGAAATGCTATACTCCCGGTTTTCATGTCTTAATATCCATCCTAAATGTACCGCCATTTCCTTTCTTTATTTTGAAAGGAATAACCTTCGCCATAGCGACAAGTATCAAAGACACAATATGCCATATCACGAAGAAAATGACAATGAATTAATGAAATATATACAAACAATTTTCGTATTATATACATGAAAATATATATATATATATATATGTATCCATCATATATATATAATATAATATAATATATATATATATACGTGTAACGCTTCAACATTATGGCACCGTTATTTAATCGTCAAACAAATGTATCTTTATATTTGTATGTACGTGTCCATGTATGTGTTTGTATGTATGTGCGTGCGTGTGTATATGTGTGGACTTTAAAATATATAAACAAACTTGTATTCTTCGTTCAGCCAAGTTGGATTTCTGCGAAAATTGTTCTTCATTTCACGCGCGCACCCAACTACAAGGAAAAAAAAAAGAACCATGGCCGAACGTGTGTAAATAATGAGTTTTTGACTTCGAGTTCCGGAACTTCTCACAAAAGCACTATATGCCGTTGTACGTAGAGGTATGAAACGATCGAGCGATTAATTGTTACGATTGATATTAAGTCGCCCAGCCCTCAGTGATCCTGGAACGCTTCATAAGTGGTCCATTCTCATAGTCTGAGTTGTTCCCACCATTTCCTCCGGTATTCGAATGACTCGTTCGAATGTCTGCCACCGTTGCACTACCTGGAGACGGAAGATTTGTCGGTGTTATACTTCCGGAATGAGACGGTGGTGGATTACTGCTAGGTCTGTTCGACACAAGATTCAACGATTGTGGGCCGGGATGAGATACATGATGTGGAGGTGGTGCACCGGTACTCGACGAAGGTCCAACATTCAGGGCCGTATGATGAAGGTTGCTAGTATTACTCGGCCCACTACTATTTGAGCCACTGTTGCCACCGTGAGGATCTCGAGGTGGACTAATCGGTTCACTCTTTATTTTCACTGGTAATGGCGATGTGGCAGGCGGTGGTGTACTGCTTGATACGGCTAGATGAGGAAGACCACTGCAATAATGTTAGAGATATGTCAGATTTGTAAGAAAACTGATTGTTATTAATTCTCTGATAGAAAAATAGATATATATTGATTAAATTTTCGTTAAAACTAAATTTTTATTTTTGTCCTGAATTCATTATTATGAAAATAAATTATTTTATATATATTCTTCAACAATTGAAATATTATGTAAATTTAATATTTCGTTTTAAATAATCAAAATGATTATTTGATTTAAGTATTAATAAATAACATTGTTTTTGCCTCAAATTTTTATATCTTTTACCGAAAAAGAATTTTAGTTAGTTAATATATGAACAAATGAACATGAAATTTGGAAGATGAAAATGGGATGAAAAACCATTAATATCTTTATTGACATGCTGCTAAAACAATTATCCAAACAAGAAAAAAAAAACTATAAAACTCCAGTGGACGTTGTTTGATATTTTTATCCTCAACTCAGATAAATATAGAGTACACATTAGAACGAGTGGCGTCGTTGCAAGCATGATTAAACTTTACAAATACTTTTCAATCTTTTCTTAAGAGTTTATATTATAAACTTATTCCTAAACACAGTTTTTTTTTTTCTTTTAAAGGAAAATGAGATTTCACAAATTTTAGTACAATATTTAGAATAATTTTTAAGATAAATATCAACTGGATATATAGTTTTTTTTTTTCACAATAATATTTATGAAATATGATTTACCTGATACTGGACATGGTGGCTGCCGAATACATTGATAAGTCATCAACGTACCTCTGATGAGACCAGGCTAAACTTCCAAGGTCCGAGGAATAATCGGTAGGTCCGAAAGTAGAATATCCGGCTGGAACTGATGGTGTTTGCAATGCTACTACCGGTGTATTTAATGCAGATTGTGTATGGCCACTCTATATATTCAAGAATAAAATAAAAAATCGAATAATATTAAATATTATTGAAGATAATTTTTACATATCTATGTTATTATCTATCTGGTAGAGTTACACATATATAAATGTGAATTAGATCCTTAGATCATTAAACAAATTTTATAATAAATTCTAAATTACATTTCAACATATTATACCATTTTGAGCATTGAAAGTACACGTACATACCAAAGTAACCTTAACAAATGCATAAATAATGTAATTACATTATTAACAAAGATTTATCCAATCGAATTTTTACGATTTTTTTCTATTATAGATTATAGATTTAATAATAAAAAAAATAGAAGTTAGTTTTATTTTAAAAAATTAAATAAGATTAAGATAAAAATACTCAATATAAAAAAATATTAAATCGCTCAATTGTATAATGATTTTAAATTATTTAAGAATATAAATTGAAATCAAGTATAATGTATACTAACATCATAACTAGTATCTTCGGAGAGAGGTTGTGTAAGGGGTGTTGGTATAACTACTCGAAGATTAGTCCTGTGAGGATGAGGCGGCGGTGGAGGAGGTGGAGGTTGCGGCGAATGCCTAGACGGATTACTGCCTTTGTTTGCACTGCCTCCTCCAACTCCTAGTGCCGGCGAAGGACCTGGACTAGGTGAACCTCCTAATGGTGATGCTGATGGTGGATACCCATTACTCATTTCCAACATCCCTCCTGGTGGATACACTAAATATATAAATACAAAAAAATATAATATAATTAATGTTGATTTTTTTAAAAAGGAATATCATATCAATAAAGATCATAAAATCACATAACTATAATAAAAAAAATAATATTTAGATTTTTTATTTGCTGTTATTGTTATTTATTAATTTCAAATAATTTTTTAAATTTCTCTAGTAACTAATTTTGTTTTTAATTTTTTTTCTATATATAATAATAATTAAATTTATTTGATAAATTGTATCAGTGTATTAAGTTTATTGACCAAATACCTGAATCTGTTTCAGAAGACGACGGTCTTGGAGAAATGCTGGTATGCGCTATTTGAGGACTAGATCCAAGTAGAGATTCGCCATAACTATTCACTGGTACGGATACAGGTAGAGAGTAATTAGATTGTCCCATTGCCTGAAATTGTATTAAATCAACGGTAATAAAATCAATACAATATTCAATAATGATAGATTACAAAATAATTGACAAATATGTCTTTATTTTAAAATTACATCCTTCATTATTTTCTTGCCTACTTCTATTAGATAAAATCAAAAATAATAAAATAAATATATATATAATATATATATAAAACACACAAAGAAAATACAAATGCAAATCGATCTTCATCTTTTGTATAAATAAATTTCTACAGAAATGAAAATTCTTATAATTTTAAATCTTTTTATATTTATTATAAACTAAAAAATCTCACATAAACAAAATTTAAAAAAAAAAAGAATAATCTACATAATAAGATATTCTTATATGTGAAAGCTATAAATATAATTTTTCAGGAATTCTAAGAATTTTAAATTCTGAAGATTCAATTTCTTTGCTTCCTAAAATAATTATGATTAACTTTATTAATTATTAATTATTTCCAGATGAAGTTCTATGCAATATATACAATAAATTGAGTAAATGAAACAAAACAGATTAACAACTAATCAGAGATATCCTGATTTAAATGTCTGCCAATAATATCGTTTATGACTGACTGAGCTGACTGTTTTGTAAACTTATGGTTCGTGTTGCGATAATAATTTAAAGTGTTGCGAATTAAATCGAACCTGCGTCACTGACAAATTGCTCGATAACGAATTGTTAAAAGCTAATAAATATAATCAGGAATACTAACGAATTGTTCCTAGTCATGTGAAAACTTCGAGTTAGAAGTTCCCAAAGTAAAAATAACAAGAACAAGCGATTATAAACATCTAATTGTTATGAATTTCAAAATGATAATGAAAAACAATATATTTTTACATATTATATAATTTTGGAGAATTACTCAAAAAAAAAACTCTTTCCTTTTATTTTTCGCACTAGTCAGAAAAATGAAACTGAATAAATTTATACTTTACAAATATAAATATTAAATCAAAATATTTAAAACTTTCTTCAATTAAAATCTTATATAGAAAAATAATTATAGAAAATCTGAAAATACATATATATATTATTCTAAAGCAAATTCAACAATTTTTCAGTAAATACAGAAGGATTTAATAAAATAATATCTCATCATAAAGGATCTTTATAACTCCAATTACATTTTTTATGATTTTAAATGTATAATAAAATTTTTAACAACTTATCTATTATAAGAAAAAAATTCCTAAACACTCAAATATTAATATGACAAAAATTCCAACTTCAATTATTCATAATATCCAGTATATAATACAATTTTCAATCTGTACTATTTCATCAAATTCTCCGCGTCTTTTCTTATAAATTTAAAATACCAAAATAATATATAATACTTCAATAATAAACTTCAATAAGATGTATAATAAAATCAATACCAACATACCAATACAGAGAAATTTTTCTATATGCAAATTCCTAATGTCTTAACTACTGCAATCTTAACAACAGTAACAACCTTAACCCAATTTCAATCATTCATAAGAATTAACAAATACAATTCCCAATACTCTATACCACTCTACAAAAACCAAAACTCTCAGCAACCTTGTATGCCTAAAATGCCTAAGATCGACAATACCTAAATACCCGTGGACCGTCGGCAGGAGATCCACAAAATTTTTTCAGCCATCCCAGGTATTCTCCTGACAGGAACATTTTTCTTTTTCTCCCTGTTCCTCTCGACGTCAGTTGGCCATCGAACACAACACAGAACGACGACCTCCACTTACCCGAGTGCCGTTATGTTGGTGCCTCTGCATCATTAGTTGGAATTCCTCGTCAATCTTCGTGTATTTGGCTTCGGTGCGCGGAGTAAGATTGTACTCGATCGCGTCAGGCTCCGGACTTTCCGGGGACATGGCGCCCTTATGTTCCTTCTTGTTGAGTGCCTGCAAGTGTCAGCAGACAGGTTCACGTGACCACACCGCCCGAGGGCACTCAACCTTCGCATGCACGTTAATTTAAACGGCTAATGTTACATATACATACGCATTTTATATATACATACGACTAGTCTCTCTAGTTATTTTTTTTTTCTTCTCTTCTTTCATATATGTTTCAATGTATGGGTTATTCGTGTATGTACTTTTACTATTTGTACAGTGAGAAGTTAATACGTGCGTTTATGGGCATGTAGAAGAAAGAAAAGGAGGGAAGATATCGCGTGTCACGCGACACCAACGGTCGACAATGGATTTGTGTGGAGAATCCATGAACGACCCTGACCATTATTATACTCAAAACAATTGGGGGACTGGGTTAGGGAACCGGTGTATAGGAATGAGTTAATGATAGTTTTTCTAAAGTTAGAAATTTTTAGTAATTTGATATTGATATATAAGAATATAATGAATAATATATTAATTAGTATTATTTAAAATTCTTTCTTTTTTTTTTTCTCGATAAAAATTTGTACAGAAGAAATAAAAATTTGCAATAAATAATATTAAAATGAAAGATTTTTGAAGTTAGCAAAAATCTCTTTTTTAAAAATTCGAAGAATTCAAAAAGTTGAGTATTTTAGGAGGAGAGAAAAAATTATAATTATTAATTTTTTTTTCCAATTAAGAACTGAGCTTTTTTTTATTAAGATTTTGTATAGAGAACTTTATTAATAAAGTTAGAAAGAAAAATTTTTCAATTGATTTGAGTATAATAAATTTGTTCTGTACAATAAGTTATTGGGTTTTCTTTTTTATTCACTACTGATTTAAATATTGCAACAAACTTTAATTATTTATACTGGCACGATTGAAAACAATTTTTCTGATATTTCTTTCTTTTTTCATATATATATAGCCGATATACTTTTTTAAAAAAAAAATCTAAGAGAAATATTCATATATACAGAGTGTTTCACAAAAAATAAAATAATTTTACCTCACTTATATTTTTATTAATTAAATAGTTTTTTCTTTTCTAATAATTATGAAAAATGTATATTATTATTTATTATATTATCATAATGTTATTCAAAATATTACAAAAAAAAATTACAAACAAACGTTCTACAATTATTTTGAAAAGAAATCACTTTAAATAAAAAGAATAAAAAAAATATACTAAAGAAAATATCAATATATTCGCAAAATATACCAAAAAAATCACTTTACGTTATTAATATACGTAATAATAATATAAAAGTAAAAAAATAATCAAAAGAAATATTCTCAAAATGAAGTTTTTTATATAATGCTTATTCCATCCAGTCATTTGTCTTTTGTTAATATACATTTTTTTTCAGAGACATCAAGCAGAACATCACGCAAGAACATCAAGGATAATTCTCTGTCCGGCTTTACTAATGGACCACCCTGTATAAAACGATTGAAAAAGACGCATAGGAAGAGGGCTTGTACAGCACGCACGTAGATATAATACAGCATACTCATGTATAATTTCGATAATCGACAAACTTGAAAAAGTTAATAACCAATGATGATACGCGAGGATATCAGACATCGTGAAATTTTTCTTTATGAAATCTCTCATTTACTGATACACCCGTGGAGTTATAGGGCAGGCTGGCACTAACGACTTGTCGCGTCACTCGATGAGATTATTTTAAAAATATTGATATTATACGATTCAATGCTGTCCAGAATGTTTAAAATTCGAGAATCTTAAAAAATTGAATAATTTTATTGAAAAGATAATTTTTAAAAAATTTTTTCAATCGTGGAATTGATAAAGAATTATCAACCATGTTGCAATATTTATTTTATAATTCATATTATTCTGAAGTTTTAATTTTGTTTTTCTTGAATCAGAAATTCATATCAAAAACTTTAACTAAAAGTAAAAGCATTATTTAGCATTAATTATATTATTCTTATAAATCTAATATTAAAGTTTTTTTAAATATATTTAAAAAAAAAAACAACTTTATTGATTGAAGAATTCATTTTTAAACTCAATTTATATATAAATGTATATCCAAACAAAAACTTGTTTTCTCTTAAAATGCTATTTTTACTTAATTTTTTTTTTTTTTTTGAATACATCTTCTGTATTATTATTTTAAAACAAAATAACCGATAGGACAAACTGCAGAAAAAAATTTATTAATAAAATATTTTGACTATTGTAAGCATAGATAAAACAAACAATTCTTAGATTTAAGAATAAAATATAATTATTATTATAATCATTTATTTGTACGATATGTAAACAATTATTTTTAATAGCTAAGAGTGGCTTTAAGATCTTCTGATCAACTAAATGACTTGAACATATAGTACTTTCTGAGACAAGACCTAATCGGCCTTGGATATGCAAAGACATGCTTCAACATTCTCTGACATATTATTTACGTGAACAAGTTTTTTGAAAGTGATGCTCATTCAGATTTAAAACACGTTTATCTTACTTCCGAAGAATTTTTTTCATTATTTAAAATACAAGAATATTTTATTATAACAGTGGAAAAAAGATTGCGAGATGTGTAATCTCTGTTTCAAAAAGAATTGAATTTCTCCTTTTATTTTATAATTTTATAAAATTTCATGAAATATAATTTAATATTTTATATATTATCATAAACATATGATAAAAAATGAATTCTTCAATATTTTATATAATGAAGTAATTAATTATAATATTCTATGTAGATTGTAGTATTATAATATTCTAATATTGTATAAAATAATTAAAATAATTTTGTATCAACAAACAATTTAAAATATTGAAAATCAGATTCAAAAATTTTCATAATATGAGGACTGTTATTTTAATCTATGCATTATAAAAAATTTCTTAGATAATAATTATCCCTTTTTCTCTATCATCTATTCTACTTTTCATAGATGATGAAGATTTGGAAATATTGTTGGGAAACTTGAAAATTACCGAGGAGAAATCGGCTCACCTCGATGATATTCTTGTTGGTGAGAGACTCGTGGGGTTCGTTGTACTCGGTGTACTTGAGAAGAACCTTGTCCATGTCGGTGCTCGCATATTGATATAGCTTGTTACTCGAACTGAAGATAATCAGAGCGATCTCACAGTCGCATAGTACTGACAACTCATATGCTTTTTTCATTACCCCGAACTTCCTTTTGTTGAAAGTCACCTGTTAAAGAATCATCAATTAATTATCTTTATTTGCCTCAGCCATCTTGAATTATTTGATAATTATTTATCAATTAATCAAACCGATGTGATAATTATCTGTGATACAATAATGATTCTGATTGTTTTTATTTACTTTATTTTTGAGAAATATTGGATAATAATTGTCGAGAAAAATTATAAAAAAAATCTGAGACAGAAAATTGAATAAATATTCATTTACATTGTAATTTATTGAAATTATTCTTTTTGCCTTTTTTTTTTTATTATTTAATGGAAATCATAATACCTGACGATTCCGTTCGTCCGTAATGCGCGAAATTTGAATCTTCTTCCGACCCATTTTTGTACGGCGTTATAAAGATGAGACAGTTCTTCGGAACCACTGGATGGAATATTAAAAACACTAAAACAAAAATGATTTTCTTATTTTTTTTATATTATAAGTAATTAAAATATCAATAATCAATCAAACAAAAAACATTTTAATTTTTTGATATACAACATACTTTTCAATGTGATATTATAGAATAAATCTTTTACATCTTATTATGATTTACTATCATATCTTTTGTATGATTCTTCCCAAATAAATTAATATTAACAAATCATTGATTACTAAATCTATAAGTAATTATCAATAATTTCAAATCTAATTCATATAAACTATTTAAATAATTAAAGATATTGTCTAATGATGAAAACTTTATAAATATGAAAAGATATAATTTAAGATAAGATAAACATTCAAAAGAGTACCCTTTTAAGTTTTGACATTTTAATGATCACCATGAGGAAATTCAAGTTGAAATGGTGACAACTTTCGAACAACGAACAAAGGATTGCGATTTAGCTGGCGATTTGAAAACAAAAAGCGCGCACGAACCCATAGAAAACTAGAATACTAGTTATATAGCTATGTATCACATGCAGTTCGAAACATGCGCGACAGAACTGGACCATGCGTTTCAAGTCTAATGCTGAAACGTGCATAAAGCACGTGTCTCGTTCATGTATCGATTAATTGTCCAGCAAACCAGTCAACTAACTTTAATGATACATTAAATTCGACGGAGAATAACAGACATGATGCCTTGTTTATGCGATTTTCTATTCAACTCGACTGAAGTTCCATTATCTTTCAACTAACCTCACTTTCGATCGTATGCGAAACATTAAGCGGGAATTTTGAATGATTTTGAATAATCGAAACTTGTCAACATTCGTGCTCTAAACATTTTTTTTTTAATTAATGATTTTTGTATAATGTTTCTCAATAATACACATGAAAAATAAGTAAAATAAAAATAAAATAAATAGAATAATTATTTCGATGAAATCGAAATAGTCGAATGAAAGTAAAAATGAGATTAATTAAATAATTCAATACAGTGATTGATTGATTGTTGAAAAATAAAACTGTAATTAATAAACGATTTCGATATCACTAAAATAGCTGTGGTAAGAAATTCAAGATAAAACTAAAACTTTTCTCTCTTGTTTTCTAGCAAAAATATAACAGTAATAAATTTTTTCTTAATTCAATCGAATTAGTGTTCAATAAAGTTTCCTATTTATTTCATAATATTAAATTTATTACTACATTTATATTGATATCACATCAGATTTCTGATAGAATCTGACTAGAATTGGATTTAAATACTTAAAAATTTTATTTTTTTAATAGCGATTTTTCAAATTTGATTATTGGAATAATAAGCAAAGTAAGCACACCAAAGTAATTTAATTTCGTTATCAAAATCAAAGCAGAATAAAGTGAACGTAATTAATTACGATGTCATTGCCATTATTGTACAGAGTAAATGTGTAATAAACATCGATTGCTTTTCATTTTATCGATAATTAACGTACGTATTAATCGATTTTGTTGCTCGAGTTTTCCTCAAAGTGTACGGGTACATTGAATTATGTTCCACTATCACATGTCAATTAATAACGATTAATAAAAAAAAAAAATCATAGACTTATTAAATTATTAGTTGCCATCTATGATCTTTATTTCTGAATAATAAATTTATATCAATTTCACAATACCGACATTTTAAGGATTATATTTATGTTGAAGATATTTCTAATCTTATATTTTATGAATTTCTCAATCGATAAATAGATCATTTTCTTTTTAATCTTTATTATGATATCTTTGAATCGTAGATAATTAATAGGATTAAATTATATAATTTTAAAATATTTAATCATAATATATATATAATGTATTATTATACTCAGATTATTGTATATGTATATGTAATCATCTATGACCTAATGATATCAATTCAGAATCAAATATATATATATATATATATATATTAATCTATTTGACATACTAAAATATATTTTTATTAATTATAAATTTAATTTAAAGTACTATCTTATTTAAGAGGAACTGATTTCAAAATAAATTATTTATCAAATTATAGATATTAATAATTTGATATTTCTATTTCATTCAAACACTATTCTATACAAATATTCATTTACTTATTCGATATTGAACAATATACATGATCGAATTCTCATTCCAATAATCGTATAATCATGAAATCACAAAATTCGAATATATTTGAAAATTATAAAAAAAAAAAATAATCGAATGATCGATTATTCACATTTGATAATATTTCCTTGATTCGAAAAAGCTTTCAAATGTTCAGATACACCGAGGCTGGTAAAAACATAAGCTTTAACATTGTTCTAATTCTAAGCTCCATCAACTATATTTATCGAACTCCCTTTCATTCATTGCGAACACGCGATCTCTCGCTATATGAATTAACGCGAGTTTCACGGGCAAACGTTATTTTTGTCGCGCCTATCTTATGCATCGCAAAATTATGTTGCACCGTCACCGATTGTAATTATATCACACTCGTGAATCCGTCGGCTCTCACGTTTAATCGAAAGCGATTCCCCTATATCGGCCCCTCTTTAGTTCAACACGCGATTCACTCTTACAAAATTATTACATACTAATCATGATTAATCTAATAATTTTCAATGCTCTTTACATTTTTACATTTTTATACAGAATATAAAAGTTTAAAATTTTAAATTCCTGTCTTATTTCTTTGGATTTATATAAAGAACTTAAAATCGAGTGAGATTATTTTTAAGGTTAGGTTTCGTACATAAGATAAATTGAATATTAATATAAGATGTAAATGAATCATTTAAGAGATATATAAATACATTGCTAACAATATTGTTACAAATTATAAAAAAAAACATTACTAAATAAATCTATAAATAAATCTATTTTTTATTGATTTATAATAATATGATATAAAAGGAAAAGTCTATACAAAATATAAGCTTTTTAAAACAAATGGTAAATTGATAAAATTAATTAATAAAATTCCAAAAAATAAAACTATTTATAATTTAATTCTTATAAAAATAAAAATAAAAGTTTCTAACTAGTAAATTCTTCATAAAGTATAATTGAATTATATATCGTTGTCATATTTCTATTCACTTCTTTTTTAAAAATACAACTTAATAAATATTCACATATATAATAATATAATTTTTTTAAATATATATTTGATAATGTATGTATATACACTAATCTATTAATATAACAAAAAGAAATCTCTTAATTTTCCGATTCCTTTTATTTAATATAAATAATAGATTAAATAATCGAAAAAATATTATCAAATTTTGTATCGTTGTATTGGAGATTTTGAGATTATTTGTTTTTTATTAAAATGCGGTAAGATCAATTTAAAAAAAAAAAAAATGAACTAATCCCAACTAATATACTTCTTTATAATTATCTATTATAGTGTGATTATACGATAAACGAATAAATTCCATCGTGAATTTTCCATTTATTTCAAAACACAAGATAAAAGATGAATCGTTCATTCAATGAATGTTCTCGTATTGTGAAACTTCGCGAATGATTATTAGCTATCATATGGAAAAAGAAAGTACGAACGAAAAGAGGGCCTCGATATATTCTTTGCCAGTGACAATAAAGAGAACACTCTGGAGAGTGGAGAGGTTAGGAAAGAGAGGTTACAACTCGCTCGAGTTGTCGTCCGATCGAATTTGGTTTATTATACAAGAGCGTAGAATGTGAAGCGAGGGTCAGCGACCACCGTACATTTCTCATACACATGTCGTATTTTGCACTCGCGTTAGAAGCTATTCTCTATTGTATCGAGTAATATTTCGCTATATGCAAAAAAACAATTTTCAATTCAATAAATTTTATATATAGATAGTTTAAATCAATTGCATCCTGAAGTGTCCCATTTATTAAAGATATTTAGATTAAGTATTTTGTATCTTTTGATTATAATTTTTAAAAAAAATTTTCTTTCTTTCATGAATATAATATAATATTTTATTTTATTCATTTTCTAATATATAATGCAAAATAAAAAAATATTTTGAACTTTACTATAATAGAATTTTATTAACACAAAAAATTTAAATTTATAATTTACATTCTTAAAATTTTTTTAAAATATCAATCATAGTAATAACATTATCTAATTTTTCCATTATATTTTTGTTTGAAAATATTTGTAATATTATGTGAAAAGTTTAGAATTACTGACATTTTAGAATTAGAAAAATTAGAATTAATTTTAGAATTATTATAATCAAAAAAAGGAATTAACTTTTCTAGATATATTGATATAACATAAGAGTTACACCATTTTCTGAAATCTTTAATAAATTTTATATTTTGTGAGTGATTATACATCTCAAGACGAATTTTAAGTAGTGTCACAATGGTAACATTGATAATCAATAGAAATTTAACACTTCGCCACTATCAATATGACAGGCATATTCACACTATATTTAATTTTAATTTTATTATATGGTAATAATATAATATATTTTTACATTAATAATATAATCATATTAACATTTAAATTGCACATCTTGAATATTAAATATTAGGCAAATGGACTATTTTAATTCGATGTATCAATTTCGATAGAAGCTCTCACACGAGCTGCGATAACACGAGCTTTATCAATTTTATTCAAAGTGGTATCATCACGCGTACTTGGTATATAATATTATATGATATGTTGAACTTTGTCAAATTTAACTTGTTTCTTTCGAGTATTTTGTCTGCAACCGGATAAACGCTATCTCGATATCACGACAAGTTTGAATCGCTCGATGATCCATCATGCGATATATCGTTGTTTATAAAAAAAAATGTATAAGAAGAAAGCAAAGAAATAAAATTCGATAGAGTTGAAGTTATTTTTTTTTTTCTGTTAACATTTATATAGTTTTTTTAAATATATAATAACTATTTATAAAATAAGAAATATTCTCAATTGTTAGAGATATTTTCCAATATTTTATATCATATAAATTTTAATTTTCAATATATTAATTTAGATTAATATTCAATACAAATATTTTTTAATATAGCGCATATTTTACAATATATAGAAAATCTATATAATATATAATATTTAAAATGAAAATATTTTGAATAATTATACAGATATTAGTTATTTTTTTAAAATAATTGTAATACATTTACCTTGTAATACATTTAATTAAATAGAATTCATTAATATTTGTAATCATCTAATAATAAAGAAATCGTTTTATAATTGAATGTTACAATTGATAACTCACCGACTCGAAGTAAGCTCGATCAGTCGAACATCTCGACAGGTCGTTCGCCAATCGATCGATCTTCTTGCGCACACTGAATCGATATCAAAACAAAGATGGCGAAATCGCACTCTCTTCACAGATGTTGTCACAATATAATTGGAGGATTGCAATTGAGGCACTCGGTCACACGATATTCAAAATTCCACACATTTATTCTCTATCAAAATATCATGTATCTTTTGATAAAATTTGGACTCGTAAAAGTGATTTTTCAATCGAGTTACGATCATAGAGATATATTATGCGATGATTTATTTGTTTTCAGACCCACTTCTTTTTCTCTTTCGAGAAATATCAAACTAGAGATTTATAGAATAATCTTCAGTCACAGTAACAATTCAATTTAGTACAGGCACGTTTTTCAAGCTTTTTTTAAAAATTAATCAGCATCTAATGTTCATTCAATGTCATGTACACGTATGAAACACTCACATGTAGGAAATATATATATTTATATATATATACAATATGTGTATACATGTATTTAATATCTATATATGAGAAAATACAATTATCAAGAGGTTAGCTTAGTCAAAAGTGCGAGGAGAAAAGCTCGTTCTCCAGAACGGACGTCAATGGTCCCGCAATCGATATCTCCCCACTAACACCCTCGCGAAAGGTACAACTTTAAGATCAAAACAAAACTTCTCTTCGAAACGATTACGTAGGAATAACACATAGTTTTTGGCACGAATCAACTTGCACTCGTTTTTAACGATTCCATCAACACGCGTCACTTGCTTTGCATGCCGGATTTTGTCGGTTCGACAATAAGCCAATCACGTTTTGCTTCGTAACAACAGTCGACGACAACGACAACGACAACAACGGCAATAACGGCAATAAGAACTTCCTTTATTCCAGTCTTTTCTTCTTCGCTTTCTTTCACTTCCTTTTTCCTTCTGCTTCGATATATCGTGATATCGATACTTTCTCTCTATATTTTATTCACTTTTACGAGTCCGTCAGCTTGTATTAATGTACACGAGCGCCGATAAAACAATTCTTCAGGATCCAGCTTACCAGGAATCAGATTAGCTAGGTTAGAATATCCTGGCTGACTAGAAACGATGACTAGAAACGCGCGTTCTTTCTTAAAATATTTTTCACGTGCGAGCCGTCGATTCGCACTGCTCCGTAGAAGATTCAAATTTAGAAGCGTCGTATCGGACGGTAAAAAAGCGGGCCGCGCGCCTCGACCAGTTCGCGGTCGAGCCTGAAATAAAGATTTGAGGAAGTCGCGTGGAGAGCATAGGAACGAAAGAGAGAGAGAGAGAGAGAGAGAGATTAAATGGAGAGGAGGGGGGCCTGGCCGTGTTGCACATACCAGTCGGTCCACCTCGCCTCTGAAGTTCGCCTCGGCACGCCGAGCTAACATCGACGAGGTTCGACCGCTGATTGGCCCTCACAGAGATCAACGTCAGACGCCACCTCGCCAATTGCGCGACGCCGTATATGCCGCGCATGCGTGCCATTTTCAGACAGAACAGTCGCGGTAGCATTCCAACTTCGACCGTACGTTGAACGACGTTGATTTTGATTTTGCTCAATAAATGTTTAATTATCAATTAATTTTATGTTTATTTTGGATGGCTATTTTATTTTCACGACGAATTCAGTACAAAAATGAAAATTAATTGTAATTATAATATTTACAAGCAGGTCTTTTGTCATAATATCAAAAAAATTGTAATTATTAACATGTACTTCATTTTAAACAAAAAAAAAAAAAAATAAGAATAAAAATAACAGAAAAAAATGAAAGAATTACAATCTCATAATTTATATTTAATAATTTTATGAATTAATTTATATAAAATATATTCCTAAATTGAATGTAAAATATTGTTTACAAATTATTTCAATGTTATACTTTAAAATTAATATATAAAATAAATTGATTTTTATATAAAGTGATATGACTGTCCTCAGACTATCTACAAAATTTCATATTCTACTAAAACCATTATATTCTTTCTTCACCAGTATATTCTATTATTATCATATAATTTATTTTATAATTTAATTTTCTCTTTAATGAAATGCCAAATAGAATTTGTGTCATCATATTATATTTTTACCATAATTTTATTATGAATTTATGTCGAAAGATAATTATCTTATTTTTATAAATATTTCAAAAATAATTTTTAAAAAATTAACATATTTACTTAAAATATAATTTAATAAATATATATAATAATATATTATTTACATATATAATATATTAGAGAATGAAATAATGATTGTATTGTGAATAGTTCATATTAAATTGAACTAAGATTAGCAATTGATTATTCATATATCATTCATTTGAATAATAAATAAAAATCGAATGTTTTAAATATAAAATAAAATTCCCTTCAACAATTTTTTTCATGTATCGATTTTTCGAGTACGATTTTAACCGTTTAGATTATTTGAATATAACCTAATCTGAATAGAATCTAAAATCCTTAGGTTATTGAGTATGATACCGTGCATAATGAAAGCACATTTATATATCAGACGCTTGAATTAATGTTACAGCTGAACCATCAATCCGTATATGTAATTATTTACATTAAAGCTCCTTTATTCCCACCTAATCCATTGTACATATTGTACAACGTTCAATTTTTATCTCACATTGTTGTTTTGTTTTATTTTTTCTATCTAACATATGTTACACATAATATACAAACAATATTTATCAAACATCTATAACTGAACTAATTAAAAAAACATAAAAATCATCTGTACTTATCCAAAAATTTCAACCTTTTTTTCCAATTAAAATTTGTTATATAATATTTAAGGTTATGTAATATATTTGTCACTATCCTTAAGTATTTATAATATTTCATTTCATTGAAAAGTGATTAATCAGAGAAAATAAAAAAAAATGTTTTTATTGTGATGATTAAAAAATTTTGACTCTGGAACATATATTTTAATTCGTAAGTTATTAGTGTCCGAAATTGATATGGCGATTGATCAAATATTGTGACAAATATGTTGAATTACAAGGGGAGACAAATACAGAGATCATATCACGGTGAATGCCATTGGTAAACTCGAAAATCCAACTCAATAAATATTAAACGAGCCGAGACGCTTGATGGTTGCTAGCGACTAGCTTCCATCAGTTATTCGCAAGCCACCCGACAGCCGTGTGAAATGAAATTGAATCGAGGATCCACGTTCGAATCACTTGAACTCTGCGAACTTAGTTACGTAACATTTCGAATCGATTTCAAGAACCTAGAGGGCGTTTTTTCGAAATAGTATTTGGATCTGAATAGCATTTGGATTTAAATGTTTTAAATCAATTATTAGAGAGGATTTGTTTAGATTGATAATACGTTAAAACTACGTGGAAACTATATAATTTTAGTAATTTTACTAATTTTAGTAATTATACATAATAATAGCTTTGATATAAAACTGATTAATTCGTTACATAAATATTTAAATAAAAAATATTTGAGATAATAAATTAAAAAAGTAATAGAATATGATAAAAAATGTAAAATTTGATATTACATTTTTAAATTTTTTGAAATTGTTTCACAAATTATATTATATTAAAAAAATTTAAATGTGAAGCTATAATGAGACAAAGAATTATTGCAAAATTTCTAGAAAAATGAAATAAATTAAGAATACAAACACAGTAATCCGAATTTTAAGCAAAATAAAGAAAAAGAGAAAAATCGATGATTTGAATAATCCTAAATTTACTGTAATATAATATATTTAAATTAAAAAAATTAAAACTTATTAAAAATAATTAAATTCTGATTTGAAATTTAATATAATTTAATACAATAATTTATATAATATATAATTATAAAATGAAAAATTTAAAATTAATTATAAAATTACAAGAAAAGACCATTTTTATCAATTATAAATATTTTGAAAAGAAACTCTATCGAAGAAAAAATATTTATAAATTATATAAAAACGGCTATCGAAAAAAATTTTAAATTCTTTAACAAAATATTACGATAAAAATCTAACGTGTCACTACCAAAAAGAAAAGGTATTATCCATTAATAAATAATCCCGTCTCAAATTCCCCATTGAAATTAATATAGCAATTGCGCACGGGAATCGAAGTATCTCTTATTTAAAACGAAGAGGAAAACCAAAGACCATCTAGACCAGCAAACGTAAAAACGTCTTGTCGAATCATCTTCGTTGCGAAAAAAGCTCACAAGCAAGAGCTGGCAATGGCTGTCGATATTTAACGAATTATCCCAGGTGCGGGTAAATATAAATCTACTCCAGGTCGGATCGTATGTATTATGCATGAGCTGCAATGTAGCTGTCCCCCTACAGAGGTCGGATAACCTAACCCGTCGAGAGAGCAGGCAAGTGTTCAATATATCCTAGCCTATCGATCTCGTCGACCGAGCGCGAAAAGACGCGAGAAACGGGACAGTGGATAAGTAATTAATATTCTCCAGATACAGATAACGAGCAACACTATGGCTGAGGGCGACACCAGCTAATTCTAGTGGACGCGTGTTTGCACTCGAACTCTTGGTCTGAAGAGGACCGTCGGAAAAAACTCTAGTGACTTAGCCAGAGATATAGGAATATACGCGATGTCTCATTGTTCGCGTAGCACTGGCAACTAAGCAAAGGATAATTGTTCGTGAAGAAATAAAATAAACTTTTTTCGTTTGATTTTTTTTTTTTTTTTTAATTTTTAGATTTTAAATCAAGCCAAGTGGAAAATTTTACAAGTACAAATAAAATTGGTTAATTCTTGATTAGATACAAATAAATTATCGATAAGAGATAATTGTATGTACGAAATAAGCAGTAAAAATGTAGAATAAATTTTTTTTTGTTTAAAAATTAAATTTAAAAATCGATTATACGATTTTTCTTGTATACAATTCTGTTCTCTCGATTTTCTCAAAAAACAAGAATGATAAAATTTATGTATGTAAATTAAAATTTGCATATATAAAATAAGAGCCATAAAATTTTATTCCATATTTTTTTATTATTTTTATACGTAAAGTAATTCATTTATCGATAGTTCATTTGTATCTAATCGGAAATTAACCAATATTACTTGTATTTGAAAAATTTTTAACATAAACTTAATTTTTATTTAAAAACAAAGATTTAAATAAAAAAATTTTTATTCTTTCTCTTCCATCTTTTATACCTTCATAAAGGAATCTCATTTTGCTTGATTGTTGATCACGAATAATGAGATATCCTGATGTAAGATATAAGGAAACTTTTTTTATGAATCGTTTTAATTTTCTTATATTACTTACCTAGATATTATTTATAGTACAACAACTGAAAAAAATCTTTCATCGGTAAACTATATAGTGTGTAATATAAATATTGAAAACAACTTAAAAATTGCTAACCAAATGGAATTATTAATTTTTTCCAAGAATGTTATCGCGCATGATGGTAAGGTTGTTTAACGGTTACAACACAATGTGTGCAGCAAATAGGCTGATCAGTGGCAATTGTGTCTGCAACAATGGCAGATGTCAAATTGTCAGATGATCTCCGTTGAACGCGGAACATAAGCTACTTTTGTGAAGACACGCCGATACATTATGCATTCTAGAGCGTGCGAGTTTACGAGAAGAGATGTTTTCGAGAAGTTTGCATCACAAAAATACTTTGGTCGAATGCCTGAAACTCTCGATAACTCGCCCACCCAAAGATTTAACGAGAGATGCACTTCTTTTCTTGGATTGAAAAATAAATGATAATATTCGCTTTAAACAATTTAAATAAATATTATTTGTTTATACGAAAAATTTCTTTTTAAATTATAACATTTGGATATTCTTTTACGATATTAACATCCATAGACCAGAAATGAGATGGATTAAATTAGAAAAATAATTTTTTAACACATATTCAATACGTTTAAATCTAACAGTGAATGTGTAATCATCTATGCTATAAAAATGTATTTATAAAAAAAATGAAAATCATAAAATATTTATATGATAAAGGAATAAACACATTAGTATACTAATTAGGTATAGAAAATGTTAATGTAATCATTAATGATCAAAATTATTAGTGAGAAGTTATCACGTTTAATGCCACGTGTATCGTTTTTAATGAACTTTTTCCTCATATCATTAACGTTTCTACAACGCATAAAAAGCATGATACCATTAACCATCGATAACACGCTTAACTTAACTTGAAAGAATAATCTGTAATGGTCAGACGTTATTCCTTTGTTAATTTCCATTTCTTTCAAATTACGAGAGAAGAAT